ATAAACTATATTAGGACACGCTTGTATAATTTTTCTAATTTTCCTATTCAAGAGATTACGGTATTTCAAAATTTCAAGATACTTTAAACTTGAACTGTAGAGAGGTGTAGGTTCTTTATATATTGCTTTTATAAATCATTTTAGCCATTTATAATTATAATTCATATAAGTAAAATGACAGTATTTTTCCCCATTCAATATAATTTTACTCTATAAAATTGGAGTGGAACAGTGGTACCAAAGCCTATTAATGAAGAGAGTTGGGTAAAGCAATTTATCTTTTGCTAAAAAATGTAAGATCAGTTCTAATAACTCTGGTATATCAAAAATGTTAAGTTGTATCATTGCAAGTAATATAATGGGCAAGTGTTCGACTCTTTTACTTACGCGATACTCCGAATAATGATTTTAATCATACAATTAATTCTTGATTCTTGAAATTAATCTTGCAGATTAATAATTTAGTGTTCAACTTATTTAGACACATATTTCGAATTACTCAAATGTCATTATTAAACTTTTTATTAAGTAAATACTGGAATAAGAATAATAATAAATATTATAATGTACATTTTCCATAATTTTTTACACAATATGAATCCGTGTTTTATTTATTTACAATAAATAAGGCCTCATTTTAGCCAGAACTAAATATTGATATGTTGTGATCGTGATACAGATTACATTTTTAAATGAAATTATTTATTAAATATTAAAACCCACGGTAATTTTGTATTATATCTCTATTTGCAATTAAATTCTCAAATAATAAATTATATATTAATTATTTTTTTATTTATTCATTTTTAATTTAAATTATATTAAAATTTAATGAAATAGGAAATGGCTACTCAAGAAATTGTTTGGAATGATAAATTGAGAAGAGTTTGGGATAAAACATACTTATCTGAAGATTTCAATATTTATAAAACAATTACTCAGAAAGAAGGATATCGAAAAAATATGATTAAAAATGATTCATCTCTCACAGATAATGAAAAGAAATTTTTACTTGATGAATTGGAGAAATTATATGATAGACAAAAAATTGGTAATAATTCTGTAGACGAACTACAGTGCAACAATTGTCAGAATTGGCATCAAGCAACCCAATACTGTGAATTATGTATTCGTAATTATTTAGAAAATAATTTTAGAGATTGGACATCTGGAAATGATAAAATCGACAAATTAATTCAAGAATGTCAGAAAAAAACTGTTTCACCCCAAAATGTCATTGAATGGATTAATTATGATCAGTTTGAGAACATAGAACATCTGACGGAAGGAGGATGTGCTACCATTTATACAGCAATATGGAGAGATGGATGCTATGATAAATGGAATTCAGAAAAACAAATATTAGAAAGGATTGGAAGAGAAAAGGTTATTCTAAAAAGATTAAATAATTCAAATAGCAATAATGTACATTGGTTCCAAGAAGTAAGTTTAATTATTATTATTATTATTATATTTGTTAATTACTGCTTAATTTTTGAGAAATATTAATTATATGACTGAATACAATTGTTAGGTGACATTAAGTTTCACACTTGATAATACTTTTCGAAGACTTGTAACATGTTTTGGGTTAACTAAAGATCCAAGTACCCATGATTATATGTTGGTTTTACGGTATTGTAATACTGATTTAAGACATTTTTTAAAAGATAATTATCATACACTAACATTATTAAAAAAATATCAAATGATTTACAAGATAACAAGTAGTTTAAAAAAAATTCATGAGCAAAATATAGTACATAGAGATTTGCACTCGGGAAATATTTTATATCATGCACATTCTTTGAGATGGAAAATTAGTGATTTAGGATTAAGTGGGCCAGTTGAAAAACCATTAAATAGTATATATGGGAATCTCCCATATGTTGCTCCTGAAGTTCTTTGTGAAAAAATTTATACAAAAAAATCGGACATATATAGTATTGGTATTTTAATGTGGGAAGTAATAACTGGCGAAATTCCTCATGGCGACCGTAAACATGATTCAAATTTAGCTTTAGCTATAGTCTCAGGACATCGACCAAAGATCTATAAAAACATTCCACTAGAATATGCAACTTTAATGAAACAATGTTGGGATGCTAATCCCGATAATAGACCTTATGCAAATGCACTTAAAGAAAAAATGAGATCATTATTAAAGTCATTATATGAAGAAATAGATAAACAGCAAGAACAATCTAAATTGAGTTTTACAAAAAATGAAAACAAGCAAGTGATTAAAAATACCCAATCCAACGAAAACAAACGAAGTACAATTTATAAAATTCAAACCAGTAAATTATATACATTCGATTTTTCCATTCAACCTAAGAATGCCACTGATGGTAAATTTATTTACAAATTTTATCCTTTTTTTATTGATTTCATTTTTATATATTTATTAATTATTTTTTTATTGTTATTTTTTTCATCTTTATAGAAGAACAACAAGGTAAGTTAACTCATTCTATGCGCCTAATAAAATCTCTATCTTAATCCATATTAAAATTACCTATCTATACGTTTAAATATATAGCTTATGAAACTAAACAATTTGATTTTGAAATTACTGAAGGTAAAGTTATTTTTTAATATATATTATATTTATTTACGAAATTTAATTAATTTATTTTATGATGCAATTATAGAAATGGAACAACTGTGTCTTAGCAATAAATAATGTGGTAATTAATAATATTTCATTATTTTGTATTTGCGTCGTCATTATATTATTTAAAATTTTTATTATTACTTTAGAATGTGGGATTGATGATCACTCGAATTCACAATGATTAGAGAAAATTGATTATTTATTATTATTATTATTAAACTTTATATTTCATTAATTTCATTATTTTTTTTTATTTTTTTGTTTACCAATTATTTTATTATAATAAATTTATTTATATTTTTAAAAAAATATTCAAAACGAAAAAGTAATTTATTTTTCATTTTAATGTATATTTATAAAACGGACTCTAAAATTTCTAGCACGGGTATTGTTCATGATAATCACTTATGGTGATAATCAAGAAAAGAATTTCATTTGATGTTAATTTTGTGAAATTAAAAAAATTCTTTAAAATAGAACGGCAGAGCAATAGAAATTATACTCTTTAAGATAAATTCTGAGTCTATTAAATAAGCTTAACTTTCTGCACATATGCGTACTCGTTATACATACAATTGTTAATGCTTAAACATATTCATACTCAAAAAATAAAAAATAAAAATGGGTACCTTTTCAATTCTTAAATTAGAAAAATTGGAAATGAATACATTTTAAAAATGGAGGCGTGAAAATATGTACATAAAATAATATTCTTCCAAAAAAAAGTATAATGGGCAAGTGTTTTGACAATCTTTTACTACCCTTACGCGATACGAAGTGATCACGGGAAAAACGAACGATAGAAATTCAATATAATGATTCTTGAAATTAATTTGCCAGATGTTTAGATGTTAATTAATATCTTGAATTCTTTTTAAGTAAATACTGGAATAATAATAATAGCCACACTTTAGTTGCCTATTATCAATAACCTTATTTATTATTAAGGGTATACATATTCCTCACCCAGGGTGAACCGAAATATTTCTCACCCCCTGAAATTTTTTTGAAAAACGCAAATTTTATTGGTTGATGCAAAACTAATAATAATACCCGAAAAAACTGTGAAAAAAAAACTCTTAACTTGTAAATTACCATGTCAGAATCTATTATGTATACCTTTAACAATATTTATATAGTGTGATCACATAAAGATTAGCAACAATGACAACGATTATGACTAGGAGGAGGAAGACAATGAGATTCGAGTATAGGTTCATGTATTAACTCTATTTTTTTTACAATCAATATTGATTTCGACCTCCTGCAATTTGTTTTTTGTTCCTCTATTTATTCATTCTTTTCTTTTTTTGAGAAGGTTAACCGTGATAATTTATCTGGTAAGGAAATTTAATTCATCTGTCTATTTATCCATCCATTTATTCATTCCATTAATCCACTTATTGTTCGTCTGTTCATCCATTCATCCATCCGTTCGTCCATTTATTCATCCATTCACCCATCCGTTCGTCTGTTCGTCCGTTCATCCATTCACCCGTTCATCCGTTCGCTCGTATCCATCCATCCATCCATTTATCTATTCGTCTATTTATATTCATTATTATTTATCCTTCGATCTTCCATCTATTATTATTTATCCTTCGATCTTCCATCTATTATTATTTATCCTTCGA